TAATTTTGCACAATACACCTAAAACCCCAAGCAGGCAGGGACAGGAATGTAGCAGTGGTGTGAGATCTCAAAGCCATCTTTGGTCCAAGCACTGCGCAGAACTGAAGGAACAGACAATCTCTGCAGTGTTTGGGACTTCCTTTCATCAAAGGAAATGAAAATCTATCCCATTCACTTGTATTTTTTGGGTGGAACTGACACCTAACCATGGTACAAGCAGAGATAATAGTTCTTCCCACCAAACTCTCTATAATTTTTATTAACTCTTATCTTCTTCTAAGCTTCTAAGTCTCCTGAATGCCCAGCAATTCCTGTTAACACAATACATTAAAAAAAAAAAAAAAAAAAAAAAAAAAAAAAAAAAAAAAACCACTAGCTTATTAACAGGAATAATTATCAGATGAGACTTAAGTATTAAAAAGAACCCTGTGTTATGTCATATCATATATTTTAATTTCTTAGAGACACAGTTTATATTCCTTAATGGTCTCCTCTTTTTATTCCAAATCTGTAATTACATTCACTGAAGCAGTTTAGTATTAGGCACAGCAGATCTTTCAGAATTAGGGACTTCCAGCTGTAATTATCACTACAGGAGAAATTATCATTACAGGAGATTTCTTTAAGTGAGGAAAAAACCAAAAGTTTTCTTATGCCTTACATTGGATATATGGGTTTGATTTAACCATAAACTAAAATAAAACTCAAACATATTTTTCAAATCTAATTCAGGATGAATAATGGTTAAACTAGCACTATGTCATAGGACAACTTACAGTTTTCTGCTGCTGATGTGTAAGAAATTTTGGCATAAAACTGAACTCCTAAGTGCACCCTCAAAGTTTAAATATTTTGAGGGCCAAATTCTCTTCTCTGATATGTTATTCTAAATCTGAAGTAGATATGCTCAGGAGGCTAATTTGAACATACTATTAAACTCAGAGCAATATTTGTCTTCATTCCTTCATGCTTGAAAAATGACTACTCAAAATGTTTTAAAATGTCTTGTTGGTCTCCCAGGACAAAAGGGAAATTTCAGCCCCCTAATGCTTGTAAGTTCAGATAGCTCCTTTCTCCACTGTGGTGGATAATATGTAAGGAAAGAATAGCCAAGCAGATTTTTTTATTTCTCAAGATTCTTTAAATCTAATTACATGGAAGCTATTCTGGTTTTGAGGAAAGTGTTTGGATAAATGTAACAAAGAAAATTGAAGGAGAATGACAAACTATTCTAGTTCCCCTGATGTGACATCCAAAAATAACCTGAAGCTGAATCTTGCCTTTGTGAAAATACATGCTTTCTTCATAAAAAAAGCTGACCACAATTATGCATCAGAAGCAGGGGATGGTTATAAAAAAAGATTACCCATTGAAGAGCTTTCATCACTAAGACTAAAAAACTTTAAGACACTTCTTAGTGAAAAATATAAAACCACACTCAAGCATAAAAACTTCAGGGAAATCAGGCAAGTAAAGGATGTTATGACAGAAATTTTAATCCTACTGGATATAATAACTCTAAGGAACAACTTGTATTTTTAGTGACATCCTACCAGGAATCCTAGAAAATATGAAGCTTGCTTTTTGGTTAGTTGAAATTTCTCCTAAAGGTACTGTTTAGAGTAAGTGCTCATTCTCATTAATCAGGTCACCAAGTAAAGATAAGAGATAAGACTTTTGAACGTGTAGGGATAAAAGAGATAAGAAGTTAAGACAGCTAAATTGTTGGTGAAACTGGTATTTCTATTGCATTTGTAAGTGTTCTGTGTCACACAAGAACCATGACACAAATTTTCTAATGGTTAGGAACACATGCCATGGAATACAACCCTGGTTATTAAGGGGCAAGAAAGACCAACGAGTCCTTTGCAGGCAGGTCAGAGCATCACACTGTCCCACGCAGCTGAGCAGGTTTGAGTGTCCACTCTATTCAGGCTTGCCCCTTTGCTCTGTGACAAAATCACAGGAAGTAGAGCACAACTCTTATTCCCATGGCATAGCTCTGGCCCAAGAGCTGTCCATGAACCACCTGCAGGCAACATCCAGATGGGAAAACACAGAACAAAGCCACTCTTGCTTTCATATCCTCTTTATGCATCTGAACTGAGTGTTACATGAACAATGTCTGGCAGGTAAGTGTTTCACTCTTCTTTTTCCTGCCTCATCAAAGATGCCCTGTGCGTGACGTGCTTTTCCATCGCAGCCTCAGCTAAATGAGCAGGACCCCATCAATCTAAGGAGGAGGTCCTATCCTCTCTCAGAGCTCACCCCTGGACATGTGCTGTAGCCACTTGCCCTGTGCTGTCCCTAGAATTCACCAGTGGTACTCCAGGTCAGCTTTCTCACAATACAAATAGCTAGCCAAGCCCCTAAATGAAATAAAAGAAAGGTGAGTGTGGAGGTGCAGCTCAGTGAGTGGCTAGACTAAAGCTGGAGAGAGTCCTGAAAGTGAGGGAATGAGAGAACAGGAGGGGAAGCACATTTCAGTCCTCCTGCTATTCAACTCATTGATAATACAGAGTAGCATCCTCAGAAAAGACCCAAAGAAAAGAGAAAACACACAGAAATCATTTGTCTTGCATTCTCTGTTCTGTATACAGTACTACTCCAGAAGCTTTTTGTTTCAAACAAAAGAAGTAATTAGCTGCTCAATTGTGTTTTAAATCAGACACTTGGGTTTGATTTTCAGCAGCTACAGACAATAAAAATACATAACTCCAGTTTCAAATGCTTGGCTGAATACTCAACTGAATGCAACAACTTTCCTGTCTGAGGGGAAGATAAGCCTTCTGTTCAGCTGGTGATCAGGTACTAACAGCCGGAGTAAAAAGCTGTCATTCATGTGTTGGTGACAGGAGTTATAAAAATGAGTTAATTACTTGTAAGAAAAGCCTTGTCACAGTCCTCTATCCCAAAAAACAAGTACACACCATCATGACAGGTACTAATTTGTATCCTTGGTATTGGTAACAAAAAATGAGATGAATATAAAAATGGGACTATTATTCAAACTTTGGATCTGCTCTTTCTAGGCTGAAGAGACCTTTGTGGCTGGCCCTAGGACACTGTACCTATGTCAGAGACAACTGGAGAATTTCTCTAAGGATGTTCGTCTGTTCCTTTTCTGTACAACATAGTTATTAAAAGTAATAACTAACAGAAAACACTATCTTACTGTGTATAATACTGATGGGTTTAAGAAAATTCCCCTTCAAAGTTACATAAATATTATGAAATATTTCTACTTTCTATAGTTAAATAGAATTATTTAGTTAAGAGCAAATATCTCAAATGGGAGAGGCTGCTGTTCAAAACAGAATTTTTTCCTTAAACCACCTGATAACATAATTCTTGCAATAATTATGGCAAAGTATAAACCTGAGACTAATTCTCAGGTTTATACTACTCTATCTTTCATACTCTTGAAAAGAAGAATGTAAGACTTCATGTACTCTGCTGCGAAAAACCATTTTACTTTTTTTCTCTTGGGCTGTGGTCTTGTCCACAGCACATAAAGAATTCAAGCCACAGTAAATAAACAGTTATGACCAGTCATGCTGATAACCTGCAGCATCTTCTCCCGTCAGCACACAAATCCGTGGCAATCTGGTTTGGGCTGCCTTTCCATAACTACCAGAGACTTTACGGTCTGGAAAAGCAAGAATATCTGGAAGCTCACTGGGACATTACAACCCCTTACAGATGTACAGTGCAATACCTGGAGCAGATCAGGCTAAGAAGCCTCCACGGCCAGAGCACTGCTTGCTTTTTGAAGGATAAATTTTAGCCCAGTTTTCTTACAATGTGCAGCAATGTCTCTGAGCAAGTGCCACCCTACAAATCAGTTATTTGCCTATTAACTTCTCAATTTGTCACCCAACTTCAAGATTTCGAAAATGGAGCTTAATCTCATTTAAAACAGGCTACTGAACAAAAAAAAGTCTACCACTGAGACTTGAGGAGGGCTGCAACTCAGCTTCACCCATTACCAGCAATCAGCCACAAGGGCGGTCTCCAGGGACACAAATCCCTAAGAAACTAAACTTCCTTGGGTTTCCTCAGTGTGGTTTCTCTCCAGCAAGGTCTGTGGCAGGCAACAAGAGAAAAATATTAGTGTGCCGCAGCCAGGGACAGTCACTAGATTCTCCTTTTTTGTGACACTGCACCATCCTAACTCACACAAACCCCTCAGGAAGCTCCACTCCATGAGGAAATGCTTTTGCAGGGCTCTGCATCAAGCCTGGCAGTGTCAGTCTCCTGGGCAAGGACAGTGGGACTGTCACCAGGAAGCTGTGCTTGGCCCAGAGCTGTGACACACCAGGCAGCTGTACTTGGTCCTGAACTGTCCCTGCTGTCCCTGCCAGGCCTGGGTCGTCCCAGCCAGTGCTCCCTGTCCCAGTCTGAGCATCCTCTGAAAGGTGAAATAAGCCCCATGCCCAGTGCGGTCTGGATCTTCTGCACCTGCCCTGCGAAAGTGCATCACATGGGAACCAGCAAAGTTGGAGAGGAAGTTTAAAGGAGTACGTCCAGAGAGCTGTCGCTCAGATTGGTCATTTATTCTCTTTGTGCCCATCAGAGCAGCACTCTTAAGACTGGGGAGAAACAGGTCTCCCCCAGTGCTGGGCTGCACTACAGGGAAGTTGGAAGGCTTGCTCTGAGGGGCTGTAGCTCAATGGTGGTGGCAAGCTGACCTCCCGGCCGAAGGTGCCGAAGCCCCAGTGACCCTGTCCTCCCTCCCTTCTGTCTCGGACACCTCACAGCTCGGGCCGGGGAGCGGGGCTGGGCTGTGCTGCCCTCAGCGGGGCTCGAACTCAGCCGAGGCAGAGCCCCCGCCGCGCTGCCCCGGGAGTGGGAGCGCATCCCCGACCCGTGTTCCGCTCTCCCGCTCCCTCCCTCCCGCAGCGGGACGCGCCGGCCAAGGAGCCGTCGGGCTCGGCCGCCGGAGGCAGCGACAGGGACGGGATCCGAGGGGGCTGCATCCCAGGGCTCCCGTCTCTTACCTCCGTGCCGGGCGGCGGCGAGGAGCCGCGGGGGCGGCGGGGCGGCGGCGGCGGCGGCGGCGGCGCGGGGCTCTGTCGGAGGGGCACCGCCGCCGCTGTAGCGCCGGGAGATCACCCGCTCCCTGCGCGGCGGGCGGGGCGGCAGCGGGCGGCCCTCGTCGCCCAGGGCTTGCAGGAGGATGTCGAGGAGCGCCCCCCGCTCGGCTCCAGCGGCGGGCACGTCCCTGCCCTCGGCGCCCGGCGGCGGCGGGGCCGAGGCGAGCAGCAGGAGCACGATGGCGGGCAGCGCCTGCCGCTTCTTCGCCCCTCGCATCTCTGCGGCGCTGGGAGGAGGCAGAGAGCGAAGGCGGTCAGCGCCGGGCCCGGCCCGCACCCCACCCGCCCGCCCCCCATGCCGCGCCAGGGGCACCCCCGCCCGCCGCTCCGCGCCCGGGGCCGGGCACGGGGGGCGCGGAGCGGGGACACCGAGGGGGCGCGGAGCGGGGACACCAAGGGGCGCGGAGCGGGGACACCGAGGGGGTCGGAGAGGGGACACGGAGGGGCCGCCACCCGCCGGCCCCGCCAGCCCCGTGCTGTGCCGCCGCGCTCGCCCGGCTCCGCGGAGGCTGCGTTTAATAGACACGGATTAGGGGAAGGTTTCTGAGCGCGCCGCACATGTTCGCGGTGCAGGGTTTGTGGGGAATTTGCTCGGCTCCTTTTGGCCCCGGAGTCCCCGCGCCCGCTGGCTATGCCGGCGGAGACCCCGGGATGGGCCAGCCTTGTGCTCTGCCACACCGGGGGTTCGGGGAGCGAGCACGGACGGCAGCCGGATGGAGTTCACTGAGAGGCAGGTTACATTGGAAGTGCCGCACATCAGGGTAGAAAGGGCGAAAACAATTACCACAGGCTGCGGCTTCGAGAGCAGCACTTAATGCCCTAAGTAAGCTATTCTAATTATAGAGAACGGGCAGGATTAAGAGGGAGGGAGGGAAATTCTGTTATTTACAAACTGTTTTCTAGCTGGCCTGCCTTGCAAATCCTCTTGGGCGAAGGAGTTAACCGGAGCCTCAAGTGAGCCGGCTTTTCCCGACGGCTCCGGGCTCTCCCTCCCTTTCTCCCTCCCTGCCGTGCCGGGGCGCACGGCAAACCCGGGAGTACCCGGGGAGCGACCCGCGGCTCGCTGCCGAGGCAGCGGCAGCTCCTCGTTCCGCGCCGAGATCCCCTCCGGAGAGCCGGGGCTGGGGCCGCTTACCTTCAGGCAGAGGCGAGCGCAGCCGGGTGTGTGCGGGCTGCGGAGCGAGCTGCGGTGCCGCCGGTGCAGAGCCCGAGTGCCCGCGGAGGCTCCGCCGGGCGCGGAGTGGGGCGCTCGGTGCTGCGCCCGGAGATGGGGGATGCGCCCTTCAGGGCCATGCGCTTCTCTTATATAGTCCACACCGGCGTACTCATCTGAGTACTATCGACTTTAGGTGGGTGGCAGTCGATGGAGACACCTCTAGTAATCACTCTTGGGCTCAGAGAGGGTCTTTTCTGACAAACTTCCTCCTCCCCGTTTGTCCCCCGGTGGATGGCAACTGAAAGCTGCGTTTGAAGTGACTCTGATCTATTTGTGAAATTAGATTTCCCCGAAGATTGGGGAACGCTTACTAATAAAGCTGCCGGCTCAAGAGATTAAAATGTGCTTTAACTTAGCGGGATTCCCTTGGGAGTACAACAAGGAAACTATTTAATTCCCGTCTTTTTTTATTGAACCAAGAAGCCATGAGCAAAGTCTGAAGTGTGTATAAATTTGGTTCTGTTTTGATGTCAAGGAAAGTGGTAGTCTGTCTTTGGCAGGTGAATTCACAAACCATGACTCTCGTAAAAGTTTGCTTCTTCGAAACAGCTCTTTTAATTTTTGACAATGACTCTTAATGAAAAGCTCACAAAACAGGTAGTGACCTAACAAAACCATTAAACCCACAGGTTTAAAAACTTGCCTCCTAAAGCCCTAAAATTAGTAAATACAATCTCAATTTTCAAAGAAGAGTTGAATGCAGGTGGTCTTGACAGATTGAAAAGCAATACACATTTTTCAAATTTTACCAGATAATATTTTATGTTGGTATTTTTGTTGCAAGTATAACTCTTTGTCACAAGTTACCACTTAGATATTTGCTTAATAATAGTGGGACAAGAAGAAAAAATATTTGAGATATCCTGTAAGATGTGAAAATGGGGAATTTAGATTTAAAAGAGGTTTAAACTACTCTGAATCTGCCTGGCGCACAACACTTCTCTACGAACTTTGTCTCTTTCCCCAAGCTCCTTCATTCATACCCTTCTCTAGTTGTCTCAGGCAGCAAACGCTCTGGGCTGTATCTCACAGGGACTGTGTCGTTGCTGGTGATGGGAACCAGCTTCTTCCCCACATCATCCTCTGCTTGGGCCATCCTCATTCACCTTTGGGGGTGTGATCCCACAAAGATCGGAGATCAAACCATGTTTAACTAATAAAGGCATACAAAGGGTTTTATCACACTAAATTTCTTTAGAGGTCAGTGTACTGCACAAGATGCACTGGTCTGATCTGTGGATTTCCAGAATAACAGAAGCAAGGTGCCATTGTCTTTCCTGCTAGGTGATTTCCTGCTTTTGCATCTTTACTGGGTGCATATAAGGAGTTTACTTTTGTCAGGCTGATGGTTAAGTTCAGTGAAGAGGGAAAGGGGAGCACTAATCAGCTGAGAAATAAAGCAGCATATTAATTAACCAGCTGCAAAATAAATCCAAAATTTTCTCTCCATTTGCTCATTTGTTTCTATTATTTTACTATTCTTTTGTTTTGCCCTCAGAGACATATATTGACACCACAGAATGGAACTGAATTTTTCTATGGAACCTACCAAAGTATTGCCTTGACTGGCGCTCCTCTGAACAACTTTGTCACTAGTCATGGACTAGGTTTACATCTTCTGTCCCTGGAAGCAGGTCACATGGGAAGGAAATCCATGTGGCACTGCTAAGACAGAATATTTTTGCTGCTCATAAAAATCCCAAAGTCTTTATTGGATGTCTCTTTGAGGCAGATGGCAGGATACTCATAAGGATTAAAAGTGGTATTGTAAAAGGCAAGGAATTAGTCCCTCTATTCTCACCCACAGCCCCAGAGAATATCTAAGGGAGTCTGCAGACTAGCATGGCTGACTATCTAATGTTGATGGACAACATGCTGGGGCTGCCAGTTTGGGGAATTTCTAACCCCTTCAGCAAAGATTCTCAAATATGTCACCCCATGCAGCAGGTTCCTAAGATAAAAATGCTGCTACAAATACTAAGGCCCTTAAATTTTGGTCTTTAATTTAAATGTTGATTATTTTAAGCTTTAAATGTTTATTATTTGAAGATTTGTATTGGAACCCAACTAGGCCCTTTATGAGCCACCCAGTTTCACCCCTGTCCTTTACCTCTGCTGTAACTTGTTTCTCTCCTTTGGAAGATCTGTATCCTTCTTTCCTGGGATGGACATTATACCCACCCAGAGGGGAATGAACTGTTTTTTAATTAGTTTTAAGTTAGACAAAATAAACAGGTAGGTTACTTAATTACTTTTTTATGTTATCTTTTGGTATTTTCAAAAGAATAATCAAGAAGGTTAGAAAACAAGAGTGGGCATCCCTGCTGAGAAGCTTGAGAGGCAGATCTATCAGCCCTTGAAGTTACTGCAGAGATTTTCATCCACTTCTGTAGGAGTAGGGACAAGCATTAAAATGAAAAGAACCAATTAGAACCATAGCACATCTAAATCACAAGTTTTAAGTAGCTTTTTCAGATTCTTTCTATGCTCAAGAACCTTAAAGTCTTGTGTAAAAACAAAACAAACAAAAAAGATTTGTTTTCTATTATTGTGCAAAGCCTTGTCTCCTTTAAGTTGTTTTGATATGTGAATTCATCAGAGAGCAGTTGAAAGAAGGAAGACCAGACTGCATCCAGAGGATGATGTTTTACTAATCCTGAACAATTCTGGCAGGATGAAACCCCATTCTCATTGGCCCTTTTGTTAGCAGCTCCTGTGTTTCTCCTCATCATTATCTGGAAAAAGCATCTCAGCATGAGATTCACATCAAAGAGAACTTCTTAGGGCTTCTCTCCATATCTTATTTAGGAACAGAAAACCTGTTAGTAGTGGGCCTAAATAAATCTGGTTATTTGCTTCCTGTAGCAAACAGATTTAAACAGGTACATCACATTATTTTTCCTGAGACATCTTTTTATTTTGTGGTGTGCCTTAGCCACAAGTATGTCTGATTGAAGTTAAAAGCAAACTAGTTATGTTGAAGTATCATAGGGCTGACAGAGACTCAGAGAGATGATCTAGTGCTTTCCCTTGCTCAAGGCAGAGACAACTGTATCTATGTCATCAGGGCTCAGCAAAAAAACTTTTAATTTCTCCCGTTAAGCTCAACCCTTCATCACAAATCCATTAAATGAAAAATTGCTAAATGTGGGTTTAGAAGTGACATTTTACCTCGGGATTTACACTGAAATATAAAAATTATCTAAATGTATTCCCACAGTGCACACTCAAATAAAAGTCAGGCTAAAGTGATTTAAAATTTAGGTGTCTTGCTGTCTCTACATAAATCTGTCAGCCAAAGATTTCCATGGTCACTCATCTAAATCAAGAAGAAAAACAGAGAATACCTGTTTCTGTGGAAGTTCATGGGAATTTTCCTGTTGACTTTGTTGAGCAGGGATTTAATGCAGGGTTGTTACTAAAAGAGAGGCGAAGAAGTGAGAAATCACCTCAAAAATATGAATGTATTAGCCAAGGCAGTAAACTATAGTAAACTAAAGGCAGTAAACATTCAAAAATATGAATGTATTAGCCAAGGCTGTTGTAATTTCTGATAAGTAACAGAGGATTCCAGCTGTTTTCAGATCACAGCATTTCCTTAAAATCAGAGTTTTTACACAGCCATACACGTGTGCCTGTTGAGGCTCAGTGCAGAGGAGTTGATCAGATGGCGTTTTGAATACTTTTTGCAGTCCTTTGTTTCTATCAATCTATAGAAGTTTTTTGTGAGTGGTTTTTAAAGCACAGGTCATGCTAATGAACTCTCTGATGGGAAGGCCATACAGCTAAAGAAGTAAAACAGTGTCACTAAAAGAAATGTGAGAATCAGTGTGCTGTATTTATATCTTAAATGAAAACTTATGCCTCTCATAACTTGGTGTTACTTTTTGAACATTTTTGGTAGAAGTAGCACAGCAGAGAATTGTGGCATGTTCTTAATTGAACTCTAGATAGAGGCTTCCAGTGGTTATTCCATATAATGAAGATCATCATAATTCTCATTAAAGAATAACATTTAAGTTTTATTATTACAAATGTATCTAAGCATTTTTAACTACAAAGCTGTAATGATCTTTACTGGCCTTATCATTAATAAATTCTACAATTAAGTCACCTTTATGGCTTGGGGGATATTTTGCACCCTCAATTACAGTATAATGAGTCTTTTTTTTAGGCCCCTTTCTCCCTTGTGGTCTGGAAGGCTGAGCTGGAAACACGAAGAAATTTCTGACATAGAGATTTTAAAAAATAACCTGAAAACTAACCTACAAATTGTTTAGCAGGAGGCAGAGAGGACCTAGGGAGAACACTGAGGAGCCAAGTTTGGTAGGACTATGAAATAAGTCCTTCTATATTCTTTTCTTTTTCCTGAAACAGTTTCAGTAGTGGAGGTTTTGTGTCTGCACTGACTGACTGTCTGCAGCTGGGACTGTTCAGCTGAAGGTGGCACATGGGACAAACCACCAGAGTCTGTAGATGTTATTTCACAAGAACTTGACCCAAATAGTTTTTCTTTTAGCAGAGCTGATATTGAGAACTTAATAGCAAGAAATAAACATGGCTTGCCTTTTAAATCATTCCCTGGACAAAATCTTCTAAAGAAAAGTAAAAATACTTTAAAACCTTGAAAGATTTTCCAGGATCTGAGAGTTGTGTGCTGAGGACAACTGGTCTCAAGGGCTGAGAAATAATCTATCTGCTCAAAGGACCCTTTGAGCTGCTTGCAGTTCTTCACAAAGGCTGGAACATGGAAGGTATGAAGGCAATTATTTCTATTACCATGACTCTGAAGACTGACAGCTTAGCTAACTTTTAAAAAATATCCAATAGTGGCTTGGTTTGTTGTCACCTTTTGATTTTGGCCAGAATTACATTTAAGAAGGACAAAGCAAACTCTCCACCAAAAGAATCCTGCTGCAGCCACCTGCTGTTATCTGACCCCAGAATATCAAAACTAGATACCAAATTGTCCCACTGGTTTGAGCCTTTTCCTCAGCTCTGTCAGATGCACAGCAAAAGACAGAAGTTCTTTTTCTGAGGTAATAACAGCTTATTGCACCTGTCATTATAGCAGCTAAAAGATTTTATTTGCAGACGCAGCAAGTCTAAATTAAACCTCTAGCCTGGCACAGAAGACATCTTTACCATTATGCCCCTTGGGACAGCAAATTCATGACAGCAACTTCCTGACAGCACCAAAAAGCTGGCAGGTAACAAGAACACCAGGTAACAAGGTAACAAGCTGGCTGGTAACAAGGACAAACCAGGACACCGAAAAGCTGTGCAGGTGCCATGACTTCCTTGAAGAGATCCATCCAACCAACATGAGGATCGTTACCCAAACTTTTCCTCTCAACAACACCAAAGACTGAGTGACATTTTCAGGGCTTGGCAACAAAGGCAGTATCAAGACTTGGCATTCAAATAATGGAGTTACTGATTCAGAAAAAAAAAAAAATTAATTTCATCTTGCGATGAGAGCCTTCATCAGGAGAGCCTGAACGCAGGGATTTTTGTGGATGAAAAAGTTCAAGGGCTACATTCAATACGGATGGAGAATCACTCCAGGTGTGCTGCAGCAGAGTGGTCTGAGTTTAGAGCTCAC